AGTAGAAATACCCTTAGTATGACATATATGTGAGGCCATACGACGACGTAGCCAATTAGAAAATCCGATTTTCTTTGCGTGTTGCGTTGGTACTTAGGTTATCGACTTCCTAAAAATTTAGAGAGAAGTGCTTTTTAACGCACGTTGGGTGAGGAATGACAAGTCCTCTCTCCAATCGAATGAATATTAGACAATAACTGAACCCTCGATTCGTAAATCCAAACTCTACACCCGTAGGGTCGAACTTACTTTTCTAGTCCAAAAGTTTGGCCGCATGCGCCGATCTTTAAGACCACATTTTGCCAGATCACAGTTAGGTGTCATATTTTGTCAGAATTTTTTTTCCAGTGTAGCAGGTTCAAATCTACGTATCATTCATGCGGTCTTTATACGTACATTCATCGCCATGGTGATAAAAAAAAAACACACAAAAAAGTATTACTGAGGCCAAAAAAGCCTTTTTTGACCTTGCGTACTCGTGATACGGTATTTTTAATTGTTGATACACATCAGACTTTGCATTGTTGCATTGTATTTGCCGTTATTCCATTGAAACTAAACCAAGGGTGACTCAGTCGTTACATTTTTACTAGGGGGCTATGCCTCCTGGCCGCTACGCAGCCCAACCCCCAGAGGGCGCTTCGCGCTTTATTAGGCCCGCTTTTACAAAAGAACGACCAAAAATGAAAAGATCTTCGTGCTCGACTCTCATTTGTCCAATTTCCCTCTGACCGGGAGTTATTAGACCAATAAGAATCGAATAAAAAAATCGGCATTTATGTCAAACTTCTTGCAAAGACTGAAACGAAACGGAACAAAGGGTTCCATTGATTTTGGATAGTCTGTGCCAAAGGAGCATACTTTCTATTCACCTACCTTATCTTACTAACAGATGAAGATTCTGAATTTCAATTTCCCGCTAAATTTGAAATTCCCGCCATTTTTTACTGGCGGGAATTTCAAACGTTGCCCCTCTTTTTAAGCCTCCTGATCTTCTCTTATACATAAAAAAACCTAGGTCAAATTTCCAAAATTTGATTAAAGCGGGCTCATCTAGGACCTATCACCTGTCGATAACCGCAAAAATCATGAAAATCGGCTTAGTAGAAGGGTCAAATGAACTATGACAAAAAATATAAATTTACACTGTTTAAATGGGAAATTTCGCAACTTTACCATGTAATATAGAAAAACCTGGGTCATATTTTGAAAATTTGAATAGGGTGGGCTCATCTAGAGGCAATTGTCCGCCGACAGCCGCAAAAATTATGAAAATCGGCCCGGTAGACCGCTGGAAATAAGCGTTACCAGTTATGCAAAATCAGGAGGCCTTGGAGCTTGATGCCGAGTATAGATTATGAGGCACTCTTTAATAGGAGTACTAATTGCAATTGAGCATCCCCTTTTATTGGAACACGTCGTACTCCTGTAAAAAAATCAAACATAACAACGCTGCTTGCGCTTGAAAAGTGTGTCATCATTATGAGAGACCGCGCGGTTGGAATTAAACGTTTTAAATGCACATCTCATTGCTATTTCTCGACAATTAATTTCTACTTCTGGGATTTTTGCACGGTATGGTTAGCACATGCGCGTTTTTTTGTGCATTTTAGCATCGTTCAATACGGCACGGCTTTTCTTCTTTCTTTTCTATAGATTCCTCTTTAGATTCTAGAGCCGTTCTTCACGAAAATATTCTTGTTAGCCTAAAACCCTTTTGCACCTGCTTCTTTTTTGCAAAATTTTGGGGTAATAAGTCGTCTTCTTGATGAAATGAGTTTTTTCCGCAGCGCAACGAGCAACTTCCAAGGAAATGTTTCAATTGACCAGAATTTAGCATAAATTAGGAAATACTATTCCTAGTGGATCTGTGAAAGCCCTTATCTGCAAATGGGAAATAATGACATCAGGGCCGGATTTACCTACTTGCCACCCATGGGCCGTCTGTATTTTTCCGCCCCCTTCTCATTCGTTTTGAAACATCAATAAAAACCATCAAGTGAATCTTCCGGCGGGAGAGGAGCGTATAAGACGCGTTTACTCGTGTTGGACACATTGTTTGGGAAAGTTCTGTCAAAACTACTAGCAAAAGTTCACGGAACTTTGTGTGAAAGTTAAGTTCCGTAACCGTATCTCTGTGTGGACGAGGCCTTCCATTTATAACAAATGAACGAACAAATTATGAAAAAACAAACATAAATGTGGTTTAATCATTTTAACTTCCGGCGCCGCGCCGCGTCGACCGCACTGCGTTTGGCGCAATGCGTGAAGTATTCATGCAGTCTTGTAGGCGCTATGCATTTCACGCTGACCGCTGCTGAACGCACTGCGTTTGACGCAATGCGTGAAGTATTCATGCAGTCTTGTAGGCGCTAATATGTGTTACATGCCAACCGCGTCGCACCGAGAGCTTCCTCTTTTCATCTCAAGTCCTCGTCATCATTGCTCTCTGCGTCGCGCCGCTCCAGGCCAAATTGCGTGTTTGAATTCCCTCTTAACTCGACTAATTGAAGGTACTATCGCTGAATTTAGTTTCGCGTAGAGTCTCTGGTGACTATTTAGCGACGGCACGGCGCGGCGCGTTGCCTGATAACGCTCTCATGAAGACGCACTCGTTACTCTGTGAGTGTCGCACAGTTTACATTTGATTTGGAGCGGCGTATGCGCGAAACTAAATTCGGCGATAGTACTTTCTCTTGTACCACCGAAAGACGACAAAAGTATAAATTACTACACTCTCAAGAAATGAGAGATTTTGTCGCCTTTTCTCGTTCGTAATTTTTTTTCTGAATCCGGTATTTTTTATACTTACATTTAAAAGTAATCGCAAAAGAGTTGCGGCCCCCTAAATTTGCCGCCATGGGCTGCGGATCATGTGGCCACCCCCTAATTCCGGCCCTGAATGACACATACTTTTATCGTAAGTACGGTTTTCCATTTCGGTCGCACTATTCAACTCATATATCTGTGCTCTCAAGTCTAGGAACTGTACCCTAGGTTCGTACAACCGAACTTTTTCGATGGTTCGGTTTTAAAGGCTCGGTTCCATGAACCGAAGGTACAGCTTCTAGACTCATGAGTACGGTTAGGTTAGGTTAGTTAAGTTCTTGAAAGTATTTGCAAAAAAATTCTGTAAAAACATTGTCCCAAGGTACACAAGTTTTTCTACTATGATGCGTTGTTTCCGAAAAATGTAAAATGGCGTTTACGGCGTTTTTGCGTTGCACGGCAGTGTATATCACACGATTAATAACCGGCGAGGCAACGGCGTGGCGTAGCACGTATGATATCCGCGGGTTTCCCGTTTTTCGAGTCCACCGTCGTTCCCACGCGGTTGATTACGACGGGATGCAACTCCCCTCCCCCTCCCCCCTCCCCCCCGAAAGGTGCGGATTTCGGAGCGTGAGTAAAAATTGCCCTCGCCCGCTCGTCCGAATAGATTGGCTTTTCAATTTTGCCCCGCCGATTTTTTCTACGCATCCCCGCGCCGACTTTACCCTCCCCTCGTTAGTCGAGGATAACATCGCCTCCCCCCCCCTCCTTTTAACCCCTTTTATTCACTGCTCGTTCGATCGCGCCCCTTTCCGACACCTTCGTCTCCTCTCGCCGCGCGACCTCGTCTTCGCACAATTGGCCGATTTTTCTAGAATTGTGTGCAAAATAGGAAAAAATCTAGTATTAAAATTACTTTATAAACGAGGAGCTTGGAGAACAAGGCGCATAAATGCAGTTTTCGAAAAAATTGAGATATTCATGAACACAACTAAAGCTGTAGTTTGAAAATATATTCCGTGAAAAATTCACAACTAAAATCCAACTTTAAAGCATCAAAAAGTGAGTTTAAACTTCCTTTCTGCCACATGGCTCCGTGTAATTTTGAAACTTTGCACGAGTATTTCTTGAAATAGCAAAAACTACACTATTAAGCGCCGTGTCCTCCAAGCCCCTTAAATGGTGTATGAACTGGATAGCACTTAGCAAAAAAGAACCAGCGCGATTGCAGTGTTGTGAAAAAGTTGCCTCTTCATGATTATCTAAAAGTTATCACAGAATTGCAAATAGTTTTCGATTCTTTCCCAAAAAATTGTTGATTCTATAGGAAAATAATTCTGTGAATTTTAATACTGTACATGTATAAGGTATTTTTAAAAGAAAAGGAGACATTTCCACAATTTTAAAAACACTGCAATTGCGCTGGTTCCTTTTTCCTGATTATGATCCGACTAATAATCAAAGATATTCGTGACAGACAACAGTGGTAGTTTTATCATCAACCGATTATTTGATTACTTTTTTTTAAAAATCTTATATTACTATATTGCACAATATACTACTCTATACTATTGATGTGTGAAAGTTACTTTCCGGAGTCAACTTTCAGATTCGCCAATGACTCATGGCATAAGAGTTGAGCAATCGTTTTAGCCATCTTTTAGCGGCTCTGGTGCTTGCACTAGAGCTGCTATTCCGGACGGTCCCAGCTGGGGAGTATCATTGGACCATGTTACATTGGAGAGACCGCGCGTTGGTTAATGGGAATCGGCGCCATTTTCTGCTGTTTAGGGGGGACTGATTTTATTTTAATTGATATCTTTTTCCTGTGAGCGAATGCTATGTTGTGTAGTGTATTTTTGGAATCATGGTGATACTGTCAATAATTCAAAACGGGTCTGTGCTTTAATCTCGCACTGGAAAAAATGTACTTTACGTTTAAAATTTGAAAATTCAAATCTATAAGTTTTCGCGCTTTTTTCGAAGAATGCCGTGGTTGGAGCTTCCTAGTCATACTACTCGACATCAGCTGATAGCAAACAAAGGTTACCAAGGAAACCGTAAACGCGTAACAACTACCGTCGCCAGAGCCGCTTTCCGACGCGAATGCGTTGGAGCTTCCTGCTTGTTTTTTATTTAATTTACTAACACGAAGCCCCATGTTTCAGCATAATGAGTCCAGTTGATAACCAGCTTGTTCCTAATCAGTAATTTTGATTTTTTGACAGCGTCAAGACTGACTTATTACCTGACGGAGCCAAAAGCCGTCTGTATATTGCCAATGCGAAAACAGCCGATTCGGGCAACTACTCGTGCTCCTTGGCCAACGTCGCGGAAACCAGCGTCTTCGTTCATGTGCTCAATGGTGAGTCGATGGCTAAACTCAAAAATCATATTTATTTGAAGTGTACGGTTTCAAAAGATACGCGCATCTTTTTTTTTTTTTTTTTTTTTTTTTTTATTGAGAGTTTAGTGGCTTCTATTCCTTTCGGAATCTACAGCCATCTATAGGCACTATTTATTGTCCGAAGACATCAGGGAGTTTGGTAGACATCCATGCTCGGGCTTACAAATTTTCACGGATTAAGGCCGAGCGAATTCTGCTTACAGATCCACTCGTAAGTTCCATGAAAATTTGTCATACGCGCATCTTTTCATTTTAAAAGGAAAACCTATCAAAATTATGACTTGGAATTTTTTTCGATCACCCAAATCTACAGTCGAAATGAGCAGGAATCTCATATCGATGGTGAAACTGCAGAAATGCGAAACTCGGTTTGCGGCGTTACACATACACACTCCCGTCTAGAGTCCCTTTATACTGAGAGTTAAGACAACACTCCCTCATGGAGTCACAAACGGGGATAAAGATTACACAAATCGGACGTTTTTCGTAATCTTTAATCGGCTCAATCTCAAATCCCTTTCTCCGTTCCTTCTCTCATTCCGTTTGTTCCTTGTCGAACCCGTAATTATACCCGGTCCAGTCAAGATTATAATCTTTGCAATTGATGAAAATGTAATATATAATCCCGTTTGTGACTTTGTGGAGGCCTAAAATACGGTAACCAATCAGACATGGATTTACATTGTCTTAACTCTCAGTATAAAGGGACTCTACTCCCGTCCTACTTAATTTTCCACATGGAAGACTGCTGGATGTCATTTCTTGAAAACTTTCTTGATTTTACCTCACGATGCAATGAATATCTAGCGAATATTTCAATCCATGATGTTGCCTTAGTATCCTTTTATAAAAAAAAATAGGAGCGAAGATTTTGAAACTCCGCGACCGAGATACGCGATTTTGCAGTTTCATCGTCGATATGATGGTCGTCAAAGAATTTTCAGCGCAAAATCCGAAAATGTCAACCGTTTTCCGCATCAGGGTAGGATTTTCCGGAAAATCAAAGTTTTTCCGGAAAATAAAATTTTTCGGGAGGAGCCTGAGCGTGTGCAGGCTAGAGAAAAACTAATGTCAGTTTTGGATTCAGCAGCCTATAGGATTGACTACACCTAGGACAGGTTATTGAACAGTGCCCACTTTTGCTGATACTATTCGCCTGTTTTTTGTCCACAAGGGAGGGATAACACATTTTTACGTGTATCTGATAAAGTTAGTCCTATGCAATTTAGGCTGCTAAATCTGAAATTGTTTTTTTGGTTTTTTCCAGCATTTACATATTTTTTAAATTTTAAATTTTTTAAAAATAGTCTTGCTTATTTCTTAGGCACTTTCGTTTTAAAATTTATTCTAAAAAAATGATGAACGATTGATAGAAAGATCAAGGTAATTTTTTTTTTCATTTTAACAGTCCTAAGGTAGAATGTAAAACTTTTCCAATTGAGATGTCCTATCAAGAGCGTGAAACCGTAGAAAAAGATCAAGGGAAAAAAAATTCCTCGAAAAAATTGAGGGGGAAAAAGAAGGATAAAATGATGGGTTTTTTCTCCAGTCGTCACAAAACACGTCAAATACGTCACGTTGTTCCTGTTACGTCAAAGTTTAAAATACACGGTGCCCCAAAATCAGACGCTGATACTTTCACGGTCTATTCTGGCCAAGATAAGCTATTTTTGTCCTATTACTTGTTTTTTTTTTGCATTACGTCAATTAAACTCCTCTAAATATCCCCCCATCCATCCAGTTTCTTTCCATTATTTGTGGTGTCGTTTGGTTAAAACGCATGAAGATCTGAAAACCGATCCTTGAATGGACCACAAGACAAGGTACGAATTTAAGCAATCTGATACATGTTTCTCAACCAGAATTTCACATAGAACACAATTCGCACAACAAAAATTACTGAAACCAACTCCTAACGAAGATATGAACGTTTTTATTTCACATTGGTTACGAGGAATTTGAACTGCCCGCTCACAAGAAACTCAAAGCTCTACACGAGTCAAATCGCGCACTACAACGGTTTCAGCAAGCTTCTCAATCGAGTTATGTTAATTCCCCACCACGTGTTGTTCATACTATTAGCAATTTGCTATAGCTGAGCCAAAGCGTCAAGATTGAGGTTGCCAGATTTTTATATCGCAGAGACTGTCATGATAACGTTTAGCGCGCGATGTGAATCACGTAGAACATTGAGTTTTCCACGAGTGAATGGTTTGAATTCACGCATTAAGAATCATTAAATACCTCTGTAAGGTACTGATTTCGGTAATTTTCGTTGTGCGCGTCATGTTTTACGTGAAATTCTGGTTAAGTAACATGTACTAGATTACTTAAATTCGTACCTTGTTTAGTGGTCCATTATGAGCAATAATTTTAAGGACACCCTGTACAACATACTTATCTTCCATCAATCTGCGTGACTTGCATGACGTCCAATTCATATCACTGACGCTCGATTTTAATGGATGTCCAAACGATACCAGAAATGGTAGACATTTTAGCAATACAATCGCACGAAAGTGACGATCGGTACATAAAAAAGATCTAAAAGGTCAAAAGGTCATCATTAGGTCCCTCTATAACAAATTCGCTCGGTTCGTATCGTGCATTTTTAGATTTCTTGCACCCGTAGACGTATTATGCCGTTCTAAGGAAGAAAGTCGTATGAACATTCGAGATTCGCCGAATTTCCTTCAACAAAATGTTTATTTTTTCGGAAAGTTATGAATGTTTTTCCTTGAAATTTTCAGAAACCCTAGATATGATTGTAAACAATATTATCTAAAAAATTGGAAGAAAAATATTCATAAGTCTACCAGGAAATTCGTGTTTTATAAATGGATATTTGGCAACGCCTGGAGGTTCATATGACGTTCTTCCTTATCACGGCAGTATTGTTTCGCGTTGTCAGCAACCAAATTTGAACAAAATGAGACGAAAGAAATCCATACTACAAGCTCGGAGACCTCCTAAATTAGCATACCTGGTAACGCTTGTAGATCCAGTGTTCTACCGGGCCGATTTTCATGATTTTTGCGGCTATCGACAGGCAATTTAACGTAACTATTTCTATCAAACAGAACTATGTGCAGGTGGGAAAGATGGAGTGTGCTCGTTAGTGCTCGGGCCATAAGAATGAATGGGAAATATAAAGCGCCAGAATCCATCGCTCCAGTTCCGTTAGCTGAATTAGAAAATCGGGATTTTAAATTCTGTAAAACGGAGCCGTGGGCATGTATCGAGAGCCTTGTGGACAGGGTTCATCAGTTCAAGACCGCCCCGATCGTCGTTTCTCTCGTCGTTGCCGCTGACGTCACTAGCGCTTTGGGCGTAGCCCGATTCCGTCCCCCGATTCCGTCCCGAAATTAAAACCAGATTCCGATTCCGTCCCGGAAAAATAATTTCTAAGTACAAGCGGCAACATCGCAGCAATTTAAATGGTAGCACAATAGAAGAATTAGGAAGTGATAAAAGAAACTCACCATGCGATTACGTTGAGAACCAGCTTCTGAGCAAAAATGTTGAGAAGTGTAAACTGATCGGGTGTAAAGAGCCCGATGCGTCAAACGGTAAAAAAAATAAATAAATAAAAGGCGTTAAGATAAGGCGTTAAATAAAGGCGTTAGGCGTATTTTTATGGGAAACAGCGCAAATAAATTTGAATAGAGAATCCTCACTGCTATCACCGAAGAGTTTGGTGATGCTCGCTTGTATGGCCTTCATTTTTTTCAAAGTTTTAGATTGCAGAGTGGCCTCAGATTTATTCGCAGAGTTGATTAAAATTTTGGAATCTTTAAAAGCTTGTTTCAGCGCACCGACGAAACTGTACAGATCTGGATGGGTTTTGTAAAAAGTGGAGTTATAACGGGAGTGGAAACTCTCACATGCGTTGGTGGTTTTTGTTGGCGCTGCACTTTTCTCAGCCCAAATGCGTGGTGGGAAACGAGCATCAGGCGTTATATAATTGTCCGTCAAATAATCACAAAATTCTGTTAGTTCGTCACACTGTGGCTGAACCGACGTAAAAAAATCCACGAAAGCATCCCCTACTTCCGACGGGTCCAGGAAGGGTAACCCGAAAATACGACGCAAAAAAGTACCGATTTCTGAAGAAGGGTCTCGGAAAAAAGGAGTTAAACGCACTTCCTGAATTTTTCGCCACCACGCCTGCCCCAAGTGGAAACGGCAACCACTGATAAGACATCCGGAAAAAAATTGCTGCGATGTTGCCGCTTGTATTTAGAAATTATTTTTCCGGGACGGAATCGGAATCTGGTTTTAATTTCGAGACGGAATCGGACTCGGGACGGAATCGGGCGATCCCGGGCGCTTTGTATTTCCCATTCATTCTTATGGCCCGAGCACTAACGAGCTCACCCCACCGTTTTCACCTGATGAACATCGTTCTTTCTGACAGAAATTCGTCCAATTGTCTCTAAATGAGCCGTCTATATTCAGATTTTGAAAATATGACCCAGGATTTTTTTTTTAATTGCGTGGTAAAAATGCGAATTCGCTGATTCTGTACCTAATCAAACCTTAGCTAACCGTTGCAAACCTAACCTAACCTTACCTAAACCTAACCAAACCTAACCAATGCACAACTGGACGTATTCCTATCAAACGGAACTATGAGCATTACGACGTGAGCCCTACTAAGCACGTATTCTTATGGGTCTCAGGGCTCATGTCTCAATGCACATAGTTCCGTTTGATATAAATACGTCCAACTTTCTACAAGAACAGTTTTTTCGTCTTTATTCCACAAAAATTGCCTTGATGAATTTTTGGACCCTATGCTCAACTTATGTCAGAGAGTACCTGCATCCCACAATTTTGGACGCTATGCTCACTTGGAATTTTCGAAAAAATTATTCCTCATTAAAGTGAGCATGGAATCCAAGATCTTGAACGTGATGAGCAACCGAGCATTATATTGGTGAGCATGGAGTTCAATGTCATGCTGCCGTGCTAAGGAAGAACGCCGTATTAACATTCAAGAGTTGCCAAATTTCCTCGAGTAAAATGCTATTTTTACTGGAGAATTATGAATATTTTCCTTTGGAATTTTCAGAAACTATAGATAAACTTGTGACTGAAACCTGTGAAAAATTGGTAGAAAAATATTCACAAGTTTTCCAGGGATTTCGTTTTTTATCAAAGGAAATTTGGCAACGACAAAAGTCTCATACGGCGTTTTTCCTTCGCACGGCATCAAGGACGCAACGTCAGACGTAAAAGATTAAACGTTAAAATGATCATGCGAAATAAACCTCTTGGTGCACGAAAGTTTTAATCATTGGGCTTTTTGATTGACAGGTGAAACCCCTGCAGCTATGCAGCACGGAGCTTGCAGCAGCAACTACGGAATCAGCACAATTACAAGAAGTCTCATCCTCGTGTGGTGTCTATTGACTTATAGGTGACATTAGGGCTAGTCTTTGGCCCTCACCTGAAACCTGAAGCCGTGTAAATAGGAAAGTTATATTTTTCATCGGTTGTTATGTTTTTTCTTTGACGAATTACTATTTATTTGATGGCCCTATTCCTGTTGGCCTGGTTACACGCTCAAATTTCCGTCAAATTCCGATCAAAATGATGACCAAGATGGCGCGGTCGAGAGTTATCTAGAGTGATGAGTAAAATTAATTAAAACAGCGTGTTGATTGAAATAAGCTTGAAAAAGCACGGTTGTGTGGAAATCAGATGAAGGATGAGCCCCACAGTTCCATCATCTACCATCAAATTTTTGCAGGCCGCAGGAATTTGCTGGTAGATGGTGCGCACCAGTCACCGTTTGATCGGGAATTGATGGGAATTTGAGCGTGTAACCAGCACATAATTTGATCAAGTGAGAAAGAATCAGAGCCCTACATCGCGTGTTTTCTTGCTAAAATTTTGAGCACATCACACGCATTGGAATTTTTAATTAGGTGCAACCAGGGCCGGATTTGCCGGGGTGCATGCTGCAGAACCCCGGGCCCCCTCGGTAATTCATTTTTTTTTATTTCTTTACTACCACTGCGCTCAGTTTCTCTACCTTGGCGAAAAATTCTACCAGATCCTTTTAAGACCTTATGAGTTTAAAAGACATATTTAGGATAAAGCCCTAAGACGGGAATTTTGGGTGTCATGATGCCCTTTAATTTTAGGATTTTATAGGACCTCTAATGATTAGTGGGAGTTGAGAGCTTGATACTGAAGTTTCGTTTATCTCATGAAATCAGCATTTTACAGGCCACAAAAAAGACAAATATCATGGACCCTTCAGCTCTAAAAATTATCAGTATAGTATTGAGTCCCATAGTACCAATGTTTCCCCATTCCCTGAGGGCAAGTCTCTAGAAAGCCCCTAAAGTTTAAATTATTGATCTAGAACCCCTGAGACACGATTTTGGGGCTCATGCAGCGTGTCCATCAAAACACCACCGATACCAAGATTTCAACTGATTCATCAACTGCGAGAGTTTTTTCTAAATTAAAAATAATTCAAAAGCGACTTCAAGCTTCTATGTTAGAAGATCTTCTTGAAGCTCAACTTCTTCTGTCCCTTGAATGGGACTACCATGAGCGGAAATAGAGTGCGGGGAGCCTGGCCTTTCTCAAGAAATGTGAAGAATTTCGCTAATTTTTCATGTTGAAAATTGAATCAATTTTTCGGTAAGAATAGCTTCAAATTGCTCCTAAGAAGACTCAATTTTTTTAAAATTTTCCGGGAGAGGCCCCCCGAATCCCCCTGTAAAGTTAGGAGAATTCCCCAAACTCTTCGTTGAAGCAAAAAAGGTCCCCCAGATCAGCCTTGATGAGGTAACCCTCAGCCCCCCTTCGAAAAGTTCCTGGTTTTGCCCATGCGGGCTGCCTACCCGGTGTATAAAAAATCATGGATCGGGTTGTTATTTGTTTCTTGGGATAAATTCAAGAGTCTCCTACTTATTATTTGGTTACCTATATAGTTAATTTTCAGTTGTGTGTTGGAGTTCTCTTTTAATATCCTAACTGCCCTTGACTAAAATGTTGGTANGGGGGGGGGGGGGGGGGGCTTATCCTTGAACGAACCATTCGTTTTTTTGAGAAACCTGTACTGACTTCAATTTAGAGAGTATGCAATCCGCAAATCAGCGGGCCCCTTGTGCCCGTCAACATCGGGCTATGAGCACTAATCCGGCCCTGGGTACAACTTCTTTCTTTTGGTAGTACAACCACCTATAACAATGCGTGTTCTGAGTTGGAGATACTCAGTTACCTTTTTTGAGGTTACCTTGTGCTGAAAAACACACGTTAGATATAAACTGCAAATTCATGGTGAGCGCTTTTCAAGTGCTCTGGTTAAGTCCTGAATCCTCCTACTTATAGACTGGAAGAGAACATTTGAATGATAAGTATCGCGAATGAGGGAGTTGGGTGTAATTATTGAAAAATTGATTTAATAGGCATTTTTATAGTTAGAGAATTCAGAGTATAAACTTAATGAGGGAAAAAGAACATTTCAGCCCGATTTTGATTCATTTTTCGGACTTGAAGTTCATGAGTTACATTGGTTTCCAACTTTCATCCGTTTTTTCGAGAACCTAAAGAATTCACTCTAATTCCATCATTCGCGATGCCCTCGAATGAAATCAACCAGTGATTAATTTATTTTATTTTCCATCGGATGTTTTGATTACTCTGTTTTCCTGTAAATTCTGTGAATTTTGTGTCGGACCTTTTTTTTCTTTCCATTTTCAAAATCCTCCCTTGAAATCCCCCTTTTATAAACAGCAAAATAGGGAACAACGTCCGTTTCTCCCCTCATCAAAGGAGCTGATTGTAGGGTGTCATTACAAAAACCATCCTTAGTTCTTGAAATAGATGTCTGAAATTAAACTGAAGTATCCACGAGTAGGAATTTGGTTTTACCTGATCCTGTTTGCAACCCACACAAAATTTAAGTGACGCTATATTTTTTGAAGTGACTTGATGCCTAGATCTCCATCTATTTTTCGCGCGAATCCGAGGAAATTCTTCCGATGCAGCATTGCGTCAAGATGTTTCACAAATTCGAATTTTTCCCGCGTCGAAGCACAACTATCGGGGAAAATTATGATTTTCCATAAACTTCTGACATAAATGATTTTTTCAGCGATTTCCTATCGAGTTCAGTGCCAAAAAACTTACGGATCAATAAGCTAAAGCGGACGAGTGGCGTGGCGTGCTTTGCGATATATCGATTGTTAATGTCATTTAAACCTATGGAAAAAGATCGATAAACAGGGTGATCGCAGCGAACACCTTAATAATCGATTCTTTACCATAGGTTCAAATGGCATAACGATCGATATATCGCAATTCACGCCACGCCACCGATAATATCCCTAAAAAGCACGACTGAACAGTGTTTTTGTTCTTTTTTGTTTTGCTATTTCTGTTCCATTATAGGTTCCAACTAGAGTCCCTTTATACTGAGAGTCAAGACAATTTGAATCCATTTCTGATTGGTTCCCGTATTTTAGGCCTCCACAGTGTCACAAACGGGAATAAAGATTACAGTTTCACCAATTGCAAAGATTATAATCTGGAATGGACCAGGGAATTACGGGTTCGGCAAGGAACAAACGGAATGAGAGGAGGAACGGAGAAAGGCATTTGAGAATGGGCCGATCAAAGATTACGAAAAACTTCCAATTTCTGTAATCTTTATTCCCGTTTCTGACATCCATGAGCCGACTTGTCTTGACTCTCAGTATAAAGGGACTCTAGTTCCAACAAACGTCGCACAGTGGAGCGAGTCAATGGGAGAGGTCGGACAAAATTTGGAATCTTTAAACGCTCATAACTCCGTGTATACAAAACTTTGAGGTTCCAAAAAATGTTCCATTGGTTTCCTCGTGAAATTTTCTGCCGGAAGCACTCCTTGAAATTTAAAATGTGACGAAATAAACATCAAAATTCGCAGTTTTAGTCAAACATTTCTTGTCCGAGCTCTCTAATTGACTCGATCCACTGTGCGTTGTCTCCTCGCTCGTGTCATCTCTTAGTTCTGTTCAGGATTGGACGTGAAATTTCATCCTCTTTCTCAATTTGAAATGAGAAAGAGTATCTGGAGCTTGGCTCAATGCTTTCACTTGAAATCAATAATTGCACATGGGTGCACAATAATTAGTGATTTAATGATTATTTGTAAGTAAAACTTTCGTTTTGTAATATAAGACAGAATTACATTTCGTTTCTTACATGGGTTGTGTGGTTTTTTCTCTAACCTTTCACACCAGTGTTCGAAACTCACAGGCGCCAACGCGCCAAATGTGCCTAAAAAATCGGCTATGGCGCCTAAAAAATAAAGGCTCTGCGCCGACGTGGCCCCTAAAAATCTGGATTTTCGAAGGAAGTCACATAAAGATAGAAAAGCAAATTTATTTGAATTAAAAAAAAACTCAGAGTTTTCAGCACTACAAGTGAAAGCTTTTTCTATTCTTCACGATTTCATTCTTAGTGCTTTCGTTTCCCCCAAGTTACAGCCACTTACTAATTCATCGTCTAAAACATCTTGTGTCTAACTTTTCACTGAATGCGCCGTAATATGTGGGCAAAAAGTCAATTTGGCCCCTGAAACATCTTCAATGCCGCCTAAAAATCGGGCTTGATGCGCCGCATGGCTCCTAAAACTCGAAGGTGAGTTTCGAACACTGTTCCACACCCTTCAAAGTTGTTGCCTGCAATAAATCCAACGTGCAGAAAGATTCTTGCAGGGACTGGTGTACATCATAGAGAAAAAAAGGAGGTGTTTGCATTTCAGGCATCTTGAAATTTTTGATGATTTGATGACGTAGGTCGGTACAGCGACGTCCCCTTCACGCAAAACGTCGCTGTACCGACCTACGCCATCAAATCATCAAAAAATTCCACGATGCCCGAAATGCAAACACCTCCTTTTTTTCTCTATGGGTGTACATTCAGTCGCGGCAACAGTCATCAGTCAAGCGGACAACTATCACAACAGCAGCAGCAACAGCAGCAGCCGTCGCTATCCAAGCAACACTTCAAGCACAACCCAATAGGGCCGCAATCCTCAGGACAACCGCAGCAGCAGCCCCAATCGTAAATGAAGTTGGACACTTTTCCGAGACAGTTTCCAAAAGCTGAGCAGCTCCTCTCTATACACTCCCCGTCACAGCAGCACTTGCATTCCGAAATTTCCGGATCCACGGTGGCAGTGACTTGAGGTCTGTGCAGCTCCACGCCGACGCGTAACTGGCTCGGGTCCAGGCCGTCTTGGAATGCGCTGAGGGCGTCATTACTCGCATGGTCCATCAGTTCAGCTCCCTCTCCGACCATCGAAGCTACTGTTTGCTCCCACCTTCTCTGATTGGACTCTGTCCGTGATGGCGATGGTGAATGCCTGCGCGGAATTTAAAACCCGTCATTTAGAGACAATATATTTTTGAGGCCCCACGCTGACGATCTATGCAACGTCATCGGGTGAGACAAAGATACAAGTCCTTTACTGAGCATTACTACTTGTTAAAGAGTTTTTTACCACACTGAACTAAAACTTCGGCCGTGGAAGCCGGAGTTATCGGCTATATAGACATACCCTCCGCGTTCCAGGCTCGGAGGCCGGAAGTTCCGGGTGTAGCACCCGGAGCAATCGAAGCTACGGCTCTAACACCTGGAACTTTCGGCCTCTGAGCCCGGAACGGACGGTACGTCTATATAACCCGTGACGTTTTTTAGAGCGTCTTTTTTCAAACATGGTGAGTGCTTAGCAACTAAAGTAGATTTTTAAGAGTGTTTTAAACTCTTTTTTACTTAAATTGTACAAATGGTAAATACATACATATCAAGCCGCTACCTCAGCGCACTAGAGCGCTCTGCGACTCCAAATCGCCATCGGAATCGATCCTCCCACAAATCATCGGGCAGATTACACCGTCTGATCTCCCCCTCCACTCCCTCTCGCCAACCTTCTACTGGACGTCCACGCCGCCTTCTTCCGGGAGGAACCCAATCAAATACCTCCCGGTAAATGGTGAATTTAACTTTAAAAATACTCCAAACGGATTTCGTAAGATATGCATTTTAATCATTCTCTATCTGTTATATTAAAAAATTTACGAGTTCAAACGGTCGTTGATACTAGATCAGCATCTGACTTGCTGAGCAGAAAATTCGCACGATGATGACTGATGATTGTCGGAGTTAGCACTCGGCTAGGCTAGGCGAACTTTTGCAAATCGGGTTAGGTCTACTAAACCAGTTGCTCAACTCTTTAGTTATGAGCCACCATTAAGCGAAGTTGAGAGATGACTTCCGAAATAAATATTTACACTATGTGGGAGATAGCAGCGTGGCGATTCTATATTACTTTGTCTCTGGGGTCATTCTAGGTGACACAAACTGAATTTTACTGATCAATGAACAAACGCGGGTGTCACTATAAGAAAATGTATATTTGGTACCAACAAATATTGTCTCTTGAATCAAGAATGATATCGCTTAGTTCAAGCTACTTTTTTGGTAATCTAAATTATTTTTTCTTTGTTCCTAAGGGACAATCTGTAAAAAAACGCATCGCTTCAGGACGAGAGGGAAGAGGGGGGG